ATCTCCCTAAAAAAGCCCCCCTTCATTTTGCCACCAAGCTTTCAATTCAAAATTTCTTATATACCTAACCTTTAAGGTTCCTGGGATTCCTTTGTAAAATTGCATTGTACCAAGACAGTGAAGAGGCCGCTTCATAGACCAAAGGGAGGCACATCTCGAGGAGGGATGCTGGTGAGGAACACCAGGGATGCTGGTGAAAGAAGGTAAGTAGAACATAACTGACCTATGAAGATTAAATGGATGGACTGCTTAGTGAAATAATTGTTATGTTAAAAAATGGATGGATTGGGCCGGGGGTGGTGGCTCACGCCTGTCATCCAAGCACTCTGGAGGCCAAGACGGGCAGATCACCTGAGGCCGGGAGTTCAAGACCAGCCTGACCAACATGGTGAAACCTTGTCTTTTTTTAAATAAAAAAAAAAGAATGGATGGATTGGATAGCAAAGGTTTTGTTAAAGAATCTGAGAATTTTCTAAGGAAATGCAAATATTTCTGTGTCTAGCAATTTCTAAATTACGTTTTAGCATGTGCTTATATAGACAGACACACACACACACACCCCTTGATTTAGGATTTTAGGATGGCTAACTATCTTTAAGCCATTGAGCGATAGTTTTTAATTATACGTGCTTTTAGTGGTTTGTAATATTTTCCACTTTGTCAGGAGTTTCACTAGAGCTAACATGCATGTAGGAGCAAGTTATGAAAATGGGCCACACCTGCTTGGAAAAGAAGCAAGTCCTTCTTCCAGCAACAAAGCAAGCTTATCATAAAACACAACACCTGAAAAGCTAGTTGGGCTAATTGTGATGCATACTTCAGACACCTACTAGCTCTGCTCCTTGTATCTATATAAAAGTCACTTTTAGAGTGACTTTTTAAAAAAACATGCTCTAACACTTCTGAGTCACCAGAGAAGACAGGATATCATAGCTAACCTGAAAGAGGAAGATCCTGGCAAGGTTAAGGATAGAAAGGAAATATTCTTGTCCTTATGCTTCTCAGTGAGAACTTAAAACTCTCTCCTCAGCAATTCTTAAGGGCTGTTGGCTCTCAGGAGGTGGAGAGTGACCTAGTTTTGAGGATGACATATACAGTATGACATGTTGCTCTTCTGGAAGGAGAAAATATAATTTTAAAAGTCAAACATTCAAAACAATTACAAATTTCCACTTCAGTGATTTGAGATATAAGCAGGAGGCTTCACTTAGCCTAAATCCATTCACTCATTCAAAAAACATGTGTTGAACACTAACCATGTACTAGGCCCTGTTGCAGGCACTGGAGATACAACAGTGAACTCTGTTTCCATGCAGTTCACATTCTACCGGGGAGAGACAGGCAGGAAAGGAAAGGAAAAGAAGAAAGAAAGAAAGAGAGAAAGAGACAGAGAGAGAGAGAGAGGGAGGAAGAAAGAAAGAAAGAAAGATGTGTCTGAGGAAAAATGAAACAGGATTAAGAGGATGGGGAATGATAGATGCTATTTTATGGAGAACTGTCATAATGAGGATAGTGAATTTAGGTGCTATTTGAGCGGAGACCTGAATGGAGGTAGTCAGTCGTGTGACAACATGAAGGAAGACTAGATCTGAGACAGATGGCAAAGCAAGTGTAAAATTCCCGAAGTAGAAACATGCTTGGCTTGTTTGAAGACCATCAGGAAGGCCAGTGCAGTAGAGTGAGGGGGGAAGGGTTGTAGCTAATGAGATACTTGCAGAAGTTGCCGGGTATCTAGAGTCTTACAGGCCAGGGAAAGGACTTTAAAGTACAATGGGAAGCCAGTTGCTTCCGAGGATTCTGAGCAGGAGAATAACCTGATGTGACTTACACAAAGGATCATCTGGTTGCCGTGTGGACAACAGACCGTTAGCAGCAAAGTGGAATAACTCATTAAAAGAGTACCACTGTAATCTAGACAAGAGAAGATGGCAACTTAGAGTAGTAGCAGCAGTTGGTGCTGGGAAGTAATCAGACATATTTTGAATGTAGAGCCAGCATGACCTGCTTAAAGATTGGATCTTGTGTGTGAAAGAAAGTGAGGAGTAGGGATTATCCTAAAGTTTTTGGTTTGAGTACCTAGAAGAAAAGAGTTGTCATTTATTGGAATGGTGAGGACTACAGGACAAGCAGATTTAAGGGTGTGTATATGTTGTGCAGTGTGTGCGTGTATGAACTGAAAGATGTGTTATACTCAAGAGGCCTATTAAACATCCAAATACCTAGATTGATCCTGCCACATAGTCGATACTCAATATCTATTGAATGAAAAAGGGAAGACATTGAGTAAGGCAATAGAATTTAAAAATCCAAGTATATCTATCTACTATGAACTTCTCTACATATCTAAATATATTTACTCTTATGTTTTGCAACCATGAGGACTCATCAGAATCCTTTACTTTTTGGTCCTGGAAGAGATACTGGAGATCTTCCAATTTACGAATTCCAAAGTAAATTAAGGACCAGAGATTAAGAGACCAGTGATGAAGGTCCAGTGCATTTATGCTACAGCTAGCACCTGACATCAGGCTTTCTGATTCTTAATTCATTGTTCCACACTACAAGCTTTTCTTTCCCCACAAACATTAGTGCTCACTTCATAATGTCCGGCGAACTATTCTTTTCAAGGAGTATATTTAAAGGGTTCCCAATAGAGAAACTGACTAGTTGGAATCTATTTTACAAAGCATCGAATGAAAGTGAAAACTGCTATACATGAAGTAGTCATGATTTTTAACCCTCTGGCAGAAAAGTTCATAGACTGGTCAGAAACAGCAATGATATTTAGATATTCATTACATAGATAATAAATATTACTTGACGATTATGTTAACAAACAATCATATTCTTTGACTAGGTCTGTATAGCTAGAAAAATACTCAACTTATAGTTAGCAAACTTTTAACACGGTATGTTTTTTGCTATAAATAAATAGCTACCTGGTTTTAGTAGAACTTACAGTCTACTTAACTTTCAACAAACCAAGTATTGAGTCTCCACTGTATCAGTGTACTAGACATGGTAGGGAAAAATGAACAGTCTCCTCAAATCAAGTAAACTGACAAAAACAAACGAAAAATAATTCCTAGAAAAAATGGAATTTTTAAAAAAGTACAAACACCTGTTGAGAACTATTGATCAGGTAGTGCTAGAATATGCTAGAATAATTAGATATTTGTGGAATTGTCGGGAAGAGGTTTCCCAAATGAGTGAGTATGGGTTTTAAGATAAGGAATCAGATATGGCAGGCAGGATATTCTACGCTAGGAAAATATGGCACTAGAAGAACTAAAGGGTAGAAGCAGGTCAGTCATGGCATGCGTCCACACCCAGGTGTAATAGGACGGGATCACTGTTATTAAGCTAAGGGTGGATGTGGCAACTGAAGAAAAGCTGCAAACACAAGCCAAAGCAGTTTACAACCGACATCTGAAGGCCAACGAATGTGATCAAAACAAAGCATTTAAGTTTTGTTTGGGTTTGCTGCCACATTATAAAGGCAGACTTTACATTCATACTATTTTCTGTATTCTTCAGTGTCACCGTGCTTAAGCGCTTTTTATACACAACTTTTTAAAAAGTCAAGACACACTTGATCTAAAGAGCAGCCTGTGAGTCAATAAACGGAGAAAGGCAATAAAGAAGTGATTTCTATCCCCCAATTCTGTGCCAGTGTGCTGTAAACTTTAAGTCGGGAAAGCTGTTTAAATGGATGAGACAATGCCTTTAAAAGTGCTTAGCACGGTGTCTGGCCAGTAGGAAGCACTCAAGAAATTATGAGTATTTGACTTTAGACCTCTCTTAACTGTCTGAAACTGGGGTTTCTTATTTTCAGGAAAAGAAACAGGACACAGGCAGTCTCTGAGGCTCCCGCCAGCCGAGACAATCTCCAATTAAAAGTAGGCATCGATTAAATATTTGCTGAACAAAGTAAACCGTCTCTCTACAGCTGGGCTGAGCGCCCACTGAGATCCGGCCCAGAGTGGAGGCGAAACCTGCCCGTGGGTCCGAAACGCCGAGACCAATAGGCGGGGCTGACCGAGGACCTTGTGCGCCACCTCAGCCCCGCCCGCGCCGAGCCTTCGTTTCGCCTATGGGTCTGCAGAGACCCTCCCTAGCCAGCCCGGCCGCGTCCCACATCCGCCGGCACGCCCCTTCCGGGCTAAACCCCGCCCATTCGCGCCCCTCGCCCCGCCCCATAGGCCCCGTCCGTGACCCCGCCCCGCCGCGAGCCGGCGCCGGGTCCTCTCAGCGATCGCGGGCGGTCGCGTCCACCCCCGACGCTCTGAGGTCACTGACGGGGCTGGGCCGCGGGGGGGCGGAGGGACGGAGGAAAGATGGCGGCAGAGGCCGGATATTGGCGCCGCCTCCCCCAATCCTGGAGCCGGCGCAGATGAGGCAGCTTGGCTGGGGCCAGCGGCGCTTTGGAACCCGAGCTGGGGGGACCCTGGCGGTGGGGCCTGGTCCTGCTATATGCCGGCGCCTCGGCTAGAGTGAGCGGCGGCGACGCCTCTTTTCTCCGGCTCTTTCCCTGTCGCTGCGAGAGCTAGCGGGCGGCTGAGGCGGCGGGGCCGGGATGGAGGACGTTAACTCCAACGTGAACGCGGACCAGGAGGTGCGGAAGCTGCAGGAGCTGGTGAAGAAGCTGGAGAAGCAGAACGAACAGCTGAGAAGCCGCTCGGGGGCCGTTCAGGGCGCCGGCTCTCTCGGGCCCGGCAGCCCGGTTCGGGCCGGCGCGTCCACTCCTTCCTCTGGCGCGGTGTCTCCTCGGGGCTTCCCCTTGGGCCTCTGCGCCAAGTCGGGCGGCGGGGCCGGGTCGGGCCCGAGGCGGACGAGTAGCGAAGAGCTGCGGGACGCCACGTCCTTGTTGGCGGCGGGCGAGGGCAGCTTGCTGGACGAGGTGGAGCCGCTGCGGCCCGACGAGCTGGAGCGTTTGTCAGGCTGGGAGGAGGAGGAGGAGAGCTGGTGAGCGCGGGGCGCGGGGCCGGAGCTGGGCGGAGACGGGTCCGGGGGCGGAGAGCGTCCTCTGAGGGTCCCTCTGGTCGTGCGCCTCGCTTTGTGTAACCGGGTCCGCTCTCCGGTGGGGACTCATGGTTTTTTTTGCTTTGGCAGAGGGAAGGTCAGCTGGAGTTGGGGGTTCGAGGCGTGCGCAAGTAACAGGGTTTTAGCTGGTTCTCTGGCTTGTGGACTCTCTGGGTGCTGGATCCTATTGGGGTCTGTCGGTTGGCGCAGCTTGAGAAGGGCTGTTCGTCTGGGGAGGAGTCGGAATTGGGAAACTGCTTTGTAGGCAGGGATCCTGCTTTGTGTAAGATACTGGGTTTCGGATGGTAGTCCTGGGCATTTTGGATGTACGGGAGGGGTCTGCTTGATGAGGTATCACCAGGTGTGGGGGTCGGGGGCAGAACGAAGTCGTCTACGTCTATGCAGTGGTTAGTGAGTGGGACCCATTTCTGTCGGGTATGGGGAGACCGTGTGGATCTGCACCCCCGCTTTGGGGAGTGGGGTAAAGCTTGCTTTGTGTGAAGAGGGCAGAGGATGGTGCTGCTTTGTGTGAAAAGTCAAGGGTGGAACAAGAGCCCTGGCTCTTATTTTCTAAAACAAGAATTGAGTCTGGCGTTTTGCATAGCTCTGAATTGAGTTATCACATCCATCTTTCATTTCCACGTCCTCCTAGGGGCAGAGAAAAAGAGTCCTATTTTACACTCTAAACCAAAGCTGTATTGTCATAAGCTACTTCTTTATGAAATTGTGATCCACACCTTAATAATCACTTTCGTAAATAGAAGGGACATGGGAGGCTTTCCCTCTCATTTTATTATAAAGATGTCTGTGGGAAATTACTTCTCTTAATTCTTTTTTTTTTTTTTTTTAAAGTCTTAACTTTTAGCTAAAATGTCTCTGTTAAAATTAAAACTTCTAATTTAGTGAAATACTCTGGTATTGTAGGGCTGGGACTTTGCAGTGTTCTGAGATTATTTAAGAGCTTTCCTGGATTCAGGCCCTGGTTTTGCCACTTACTAACTGTATGACCTTGAGCAAGTTACTCTGAGCCTCACTTTGTTCTTCTATTTGATGGAGAAAATAATAGCACTTACCTCTAGAATTATGAAAATTTAGTAAGATAATCCATGTATGCATTTAGCACTGGATCTGGCATGTAGTAAACTCTAAAACTAGCTAGTATTTGTTCGCAAGCCTAGTTATTTAAATCAAGAAATATTTTGTGAGCTTTTACATGATGATGTAGGAGATGCTGAAGATTGTGTTGATATGTGCTCATAAGGCAATTATAGTTTTGTTGAGAACTAAGTTTTGTGCAGTTAAATAAACTGGAAAGTGTACAGTGAATTACCGAAAGAGTGGTAAAACAAAAAGTACTGACCGTGGTCTGTAACTGGGAAGAAAATAGTAGTCCAAAGTAGTTGGACCAGTCTTTGAGGAGGAGGTGACTTTGGAGTCAGTGACGAAAGAGCGGGAAGGGCATTTTATGCTCTGACAGCTACAAGAGCACAGTCGGAGGTATTTGTAACTCCCAGTTAGAAGATGTGAGTAACAGAAGTACTCTTGAGTATATAATGACAAGCCTTTATTTTATTACCACGTGATATCAAATATTATTAGAGCTGACTATTGTAGTGACAGTTTTTGATATAAATGTGAAATTACATTCTCCCAAAGGAATCCTGGGTATGTATGCACTTGAAAAGAACCCAGAATCATGTAAATATTGTCACATGGCTCTTGCAAGTGATGATAATAATGATGCTCATAATAATGAAGATTAGCTGCACTCATCAGCCCGTTTTAGATTATATATTATTAGAACACATTGAGTCTACTTGGAGAAGCCGATTAAGTCTTTGGCTGCTTTTGTTCCTGAGCATGAGCTTCGTTAAGGTAAAGCAAGTCTTCCTTAAATACTATACCTGGAGTTTCTTTTGACTAGATGATTCCTGCTTAGTGCTTTGATCCTAGCCTCATATCTTGATATTATAGATGTCATATATTTTTCCTGAGATTTGTATGACCCGAAAGTTGGATAAATCATTTAAAATGCATTGGGGTATGTGTTTAGGGTAAAAGTTGTAAAGGGAGGATGTCAGTGGCAGGAAGATTCAAAGTCGATTTTTTTCTTAGCAAGCTAAAAATCTACCTTCTGTAACTTCTAGTTGTTGCACTTCCTTTTTTCATCTAGAGGAATGAAATTCCTTGGATGTAGAATTCCTCCCAAGTTTGTGTGCCACAAAGTGCTAGTTCTGAAGATGTCTATAAGTGCTATGTAGAAAAAAAGTGGATGGGTTCCAGGGTTGAATAAATGCAAGAAAAACTGGGTTCAGCAAAAATAAACAGTTTTCTTTAATGCTGGGCTCTTGGAAATGCTAGTGTGTTTTGAACATAGTAAATCTCTAGAGAGTATGGTTTGGTCCTAAACTTAATTGAGCTCCCAAGGAGCTAGTATCTTATAGAACACACATAGAAAACAGTGCTCTACAGCAGTCACTTTCACACTTTTTTTTTTTTTTTTTTGGACTCAGCCTCATGATAAGAAATACATTTTAACTCATCATCTAGAATTTACATGTATATGAATAACTGAAGCAAAAGTTTCACAAAATTATGATTACTTCTACAAGTGATATGCTTTGATATTTTCCATTCTGTTCTGTTTCATTAGAAAAAAATCCTGGTTACTACCCAGCTAAGCTGATTTTGTAACCCATTAATGAGTTGCAATTCTCACTTTGAAAAACACTGTTCTAGAATAACTCAGCAAAGTCTAGGGAAGAGAACTAACATCATTGTGTATCACAGTGTGTCGGTCTGTGCCATGCAGCTTATAAGTATTTTTTTGCCTCTAATTTTATACATTTATGAGGTAGGTATCATTTTCTAGGTAAGAAACCTAATCTCTCTCCAGACATGAAATAACACACAGTAAATGATAGCATCAGGATTTGAATCCAGGTCTTTATATATCATAGCCTGTGCTGTTCCCACTGTATTTTGCTTTTTCCAAGTATAATTTTTTCACATGAATGGCCTCTTCACATATTTGAAGACTACTATAGTGTCACTGCTGATCCTTTCACCCTGCCATATACTGTGAGCATTCCCTTCTCTTCTTCAGAGTAAATAATCCCAGTTTGTTTTATCATTCCTTAGATAATGTAATTCTCTGATCTTCATTGTTATTTTTTTAATTAACTCTAAATTGCTCATTGTCATTATACATGGTTCCCAGAGTTGTACCCAGCATTGTAGGTGATATTTGACCAGATGGAGAGTGTGGTGGGTATGAGCCAAATGCTCTTTTTTTTTTTTTTTTTTAAGACGGGGTTTCACCATGTTGGTCAGGCTGGTCTTGAACTCCCGACCTCAGGTGATCCGCCCGCCTTGGCCTCTGAAGTGCTTGGATTACAGGCGTGAGCCACCACGCCTGGCCAAATGCTGGTTTTTTTTAAAATCAAATACTTCATTGACAGTTTTAACTTCTGTTACTCATGCTTAATATGAGCCTGAAGTATCAACTTCTCTCCTGTATATTTTATACATAAGATGTTATACTGAGTCTTCATAACCTTGTTTTATTTGGTGGATTTTTTTAAGCTTAAATATAAGGCTTTTATTTTATTTATTTTTATTTTTTTAGATGTGCTTAGATTAAATATGGGCTTTTAAATTTCCTTTTATTTTTGAGACAGAGTCTTGCTGTGTTGCCAGGCTGGAGTGCAGTGATGCAATCTCGGCTCACTGCAACTTCCACCTCCTGGGTTCAAGCAATTCTTCCACCTCAGCCTCCCAAGTAGCAGGGACCATAGGCGTGTGCCACCACGCCTGGCTAATTTTTGTATTTTTAGTAGAGACAGGATTTCACCACGTTGGACGAGATGATCTTGACCTCATGATCCGCCCACTTTGGCCTCCCAAAGTGCTGGGATTAGAGGCGTGAGCCACCACGCCCTGCCCCTTTTGTTTTTATTTAGACATTTAATATTATCCTTTCTGATTTATTTGGTCTTTACATTTGGTAGGCATACCTGCTGTCTTCATTCACATTGTTGATAAAAATATTAAATTGGCAATAAATTACCCTGAAGTGTGCACGTCAGCTAGACTCACTCTATATTAACGCCAGTCCATTAATCAGCACACATTATGGTTGTTCAGTAACTACTAATTCTATCATCGTCAGGCCCATGTGACATTTTGGAGGTTACTATGAAAGATTTTGTGTGCCTACAAGATTCTTACCTACAGTGAAGAATACTGCATTACTATTACTAACCTATTAAAATAGCCATTGCAGTTGATTTGGTTGGACTTGTTAATGGTCAGTCTTCTAGCTAGCGTTTCATGTATCCACTTTTCCTTTCTTAACTTCACAAACTTTTTTTAATCCAATTTTGAATTTTGCAAAATTAATTTGGTCTGGACTTTGTAGACACTGCCTATTTTTCTCTTTAGAAATTATTGTATTTCCTTTTATCCAAACTTTTGATCATGCCCGTGCTCACCGTGATATTAGTGATAAAATTTTTGTTTTTTCCAAAATTTGGAGTGATATACCTAAGCCCGTTTCAAGCTACATTCTGGTTCGCTAGGTCAATTTTATCTTAGGTTTATGAAGACACTTTAAACTCATACTGGGCTGGACGTGGTGGCTCGCGCCTGTAATCCCAGCACTTTGGGAGGCCAAGGTGGGCAGATCACGAGTCAAGAGATGGAGACCCCAACATAGTGAAACACTGTCTCTAAAAAAAAAAAATAAAAATAAAGAAAAAAATTTTAAAAAACCTCATACTGACTTCTCGTAAGTAACCTTTGTTGATAAATGTCCCAATTCAGAGCTGGGTAGGTTTGTGGTTTTTATTCTTTTTTGTCACGTGGCTCTTCACTGCTGAGAGTTAATTTATCACATGACCTAATGCTTTTTGTAGAGGACCATTGGTAAAATCTGTCAGTAATTTGATTCGATAAGCCTAAGCAGTTTGTGTAATTATCACCACTTATCTGAATAGTTTGATAGGCATTCACTGATTAACATACTAACATCTTGGGAAGTTTCATGTTTTCTAGACTCTTCTGTACCAAGGAGATGTTACTTTAAAGTAATGTGGTTTGCATATGTGTATGTGTTAGATGAATCAGAAGTTACACATCTAATAAGCTTTCTATTCCTCCCCTTTTACTTTTTTTTTTTTTTTTTTTTTTAACAGCCCCTTTTGTTTTTTTAAAGAGACAGGGTCTTGCCATATTTCCCAGGCTGGTCTCAAACTCCTGGGATCAAGCAATCTGCCCATCTTAGCCTCCCAAAGTGCTAGGATTACAGGCAGGAGCCATCGTCCCTCGCCCTCTATTCCCTTGTTAGCAGTGGTTTTCCAGTCGTTCTAATACGGCTTTAAATTTTTTTTCTTTCTTTTTTTAAGAGATGGCGTTTCACCATGTTGGCCAGGCTGGTCTCGAACTCCTGACCTCAGGTGATCTGCCCGCCTCGGCCTCCCAAAGTGCTGAGATTACAGGCGTGAGACACTGTGCCCGGCCAAATTTTTTTCCTTTAAAGAAACAAATACTTAGTGTACCTGTGTGCAACACAGTGTTGGGAACACTCAGAGACATGGTAGTGCCAAGTTCTTAAAAAATAGAATTTGGCCAAGCAGGGCCCCATGGTTGATAAAAGTATATTGCAGTCACTGTGGTGTACCCGTGTTTTATATGCCAAGCATTGCACAAGACAGCAGTTCCCAATGTTTTTGGCACCAGGGACCGATGTCATGGAAAACAATTTTTCTGTGGACCAGGGGTGGGGGTACAATCCACAGCTCACTGCAGCCTTGACCCCCACCCCCACCCTCCCCAGGCCCAAATGATTGCCTTACCTCAGCCTCTTGAGTCACTAGGACCACAGACACGTGACACCATGCCTGGCTAATTTATTTTTTATATTTTGTAGAGACAGGGTCTCACTGTGTTGCCCAGGCTGGTCTGGAACCCCTGGGATCAAGTGATCCACCTGCTTCACCCTCCCAAAGTGTTGGGATTACAGGCATGAGCCATTGTGCCCAGCTCCTTTACACATGTTAAATCATCCAATATGTGCAATTTGGAGTTGTAATTATTATTCTTTTTATTGTAAAATATACATAACAAAATTTACCATGTTAATAATTTTTAAGTGTACAGTTCAGTGGCATAAGTACATTCACATTGTGTGCAATCATCACCACCATTCATCTCTAGAACTTTCATCTTCCTCAGTTTAAACTGTGTACCCATTAAACAGTAATTCCCTGTTCCCATGGACCCCAGCCCCTGGCTACTACCATTCTACTTTCTGTGTCTATGAATTTGACCACTCTAGCTACTTGTGTAAGTAAAATCATACAATATTTGTCTTTTTGTGTCTGGCTTATTTCATTTAGCGTTATGTCTTCACAGTACATCCATGTGGTAGAATGTATCATGTTATTCCCATTTTACAGCAAAAGAAGCTAAAGCCAAAGTCATATAGCTAATAAAGTGAAATTGAGATTGACACCAAATCTAAAAGTCAAGTCTGATGAAGAACGATTGATCTTGATTTATTTAGACTGTAGATATTTAGCTTGGGGAAGAGAACTTTTTGAATATTTGAAGAACTGTAATAAAAATTATTACTTACATAACTTCACTAGACTAATAGGTATAAATTAGAGACAGGCAAAGTTTGATTTAGTAGAAGGAAGAATTTTCTAATAGAGCTGTTTTTGGATGATACGGATTACCCTAAAATTGTTGGAAATAACCTTCAAAAGACTGCTGAATGCTCCTGTGACAGACAATATTACAAAGAAGTAAAAAAGTTAAAAATTGGTGAATTCTAAATGTTAATTCTTTGGCAGTCTGCATGGGAGAATAAGATACCTTCAAGGCAGGCCGGGCGCAGTGGCCTGTAATCCTAGCACTTTCAGAGGCCAAGGCAGGCAGATCACTTGAGGTTAGGAGTTTGAAACTAGCCTGGTCAACATGGTGGAACCCCATCTCTACTAAAAATACAAAAAAAGTAGCTGGGCATGGTAGTGGTTGCCTCTAATCTCAGCTACTTGGGAGGCTAGAGCAGGAGAATTGCTTGAACCCGGGAGGTAGAAGTTGCAGTGAGCCGAGATCGTGCCATTGCATTCCAGCCTGGATGACAGAGCAAGACTCCCTCTCCAAAAAAAAAAAAAAAAAAAAAAATATATATATATATATATACCTTAAAGACAAAGTGCTAAGCTTAAGTGTGAGATCTTTAGCAGTGGAAGCATCACGGATGTTTTCCCTTTAAGTCTGTGGCACATTTCTCTGAATATCCTCAGTAATGGCCAGTTGTTTTCCTCTTAAGGGTAGATTTGAATTTTGAAAACTATTAGAAGTCATTATCATGCCTGGTGAATAAAAATGAGTTAACGGGATACTTAAAAGTTCTCAGCAGTCCAGTGCTAATTTACCTTTTTCCTAGATTTACTTTCTTTTGTCAGAACCTTCCTGAGCATTTATGCCCTTTGGCTTTTGATGTTCATCCCTTTTTTCTCCTCCTCCTCTCACCAAAATTTTACTTACTCTTCAGGCACAATGCCGATTTTCTTTCCTTTGTGAAATTCTCCAGAATTTTTAACTTGGTTTACTTCCTCTTCAGTGTTAACCTATCACTGTTTATTTATCCTTTTTTAGAGTATATTTAACACAACCGTCTTGTACTTTGGTCTGTGTAGTCTAGATTATAAGCGATGTAAGCAGGAGGGATAGTATCATATTCATCTTTGTTTCTGAACAGGACCACAGTATAGTAAGAGTTCAGTTACATTAATTTAATTTAAATGAAATCAATATCGGGGCCAGGTGCTGTGGCTCACGCCTGTAATCCCAGCACTTTGGGAGGCCAAGGTGGGTGGATCACCTGAGGTTCAAAGACCAGCCTGACCAATATGATGAAACCCTGTCTCTTTAAAATAAATAAATAAATAAATAAATAAACTCTGTCTCTTAAAATAAAAAAATAAATCAGTATCAGTGATGTTAGGTTAACACGAGGTGAAACTATAAAATAATGAGACCAAATTCCTTACGTGACCTTTATGCCAGTTACAGATGAGATATTTCACACAGATTCTGAATAATGGCAGTATTGAATTTGTACTTTCCCATGATGAATTAAAGAACAAAACACTGTCTAGATATAGTGTCTGATTTTCAAAATAAGTTTTTTCCTTTTTTTTTGCTTGCTGATTTCATTGGATAAAATAAGTTTTAAAATTAGCCAAAATACTGGCATGGCTCTGTTTCATAGGATTACAGAAGCACTTTGTTTTAGACTTCTTTGTACTTTTTGCGATTTCCAAGTTTTCTGACATAAACATGAATTGCTTTTATAATTTAAGAAATCTTGTTGATAAAATTTAAGTCAGTTTCATTACTCTGTGATTATGTAGGAATCATAACATGATATATTAAAAGCCTTGTTACATAGTGGTAGTTTTCCTTGTTACTTAGTGATAGCAAGGTTATGTATCACAGATGGATAAATTTTGGCTTCAATAAATACAGTTTCATTTATTGAGTACCTCCCATAGGTGGAGCACTATGCTATACTGATAGCATATTTTTGATAGAATTGGAACCCAAGACATGTATATGATCTTATGACCTATTCTTGTTTGTTTTAAATTTAACAATTTAATTGGTTAAAAAAACATTTATTGAACTGGATAGCACCCAGGACTGAAAGTGGTTTAGAATGCTTCTTGTTCCTGTTCTTAACTTTGCATTTAAAAAATTAAATTCCACTGTTTAACTATTAAAACATTTATCAGATCTACCTAAATAAATCGTGTAGTCTGTTTTCATGGAAAGCACAACTTTGATTTTAGGAATATCAGATAAGGAACCCCAAAGTTGTGTAGCTCACATCCTGTGAGCCTTCTGGATCACTGATGCTGCTAATGCTGCTCCTCAGTCCCATCTTTGAGGCCACCCTGTATTCAAATTCCTATGCTAAATTGCCCAGGGAACCTGATGCTGATACCCTGGTAGCCCAAAAAGACTACTTGCCTTATACCTCCACTTAATGCAGACCCCTGCCTCCTTACCCTTCCGCTAGGAACATACCCATAATGATATAAATTCATGTAATTTTGAAATGATATTTTAAAGAGACAGTTTGGGCAGTAAATAGCAGAATTAAGGAGTTTCTTAATATAAATGGTTTGTGTTAACTGAATACACTATTCCTTAGAGTACTTATCTTGTACTAGCCAGAGCACATTGTATGTGACTCCTGTTGGGCTAATTTTCTGTAGCAAAGATGAATTTGTAAAAGAATGTAGGTTTTAAGGCTTTGTTAATAATAAGTTATTTCACCTCTTTCATTTACTCAAAGTCATGTCTTCTGGGATCTTTCATTTTGGTATCCAAATTATGGAGGAAATGAACAACTTTAGGACAAAGTAGCTTAAGAGGATGGCTTTAAACTAGGTGTTTAGGAGTGGCTCAAAAAATGAAAAACACAGTTTACTTTGATCTGGGAAAGGTCCCAAATTCTGGAACAAAATAGAAATTAAAGACCAGAGGAAAACATATTGATTCTATCTCCTTGAAATGTGAAGAATAATAGATGCAAGATAATGTAGTATCACAGTATCAGATATGAAATTTTTGAAAATATTTGGAAAGATAAGACCAAGGAAGTTGTATATAGTTAAAAACCAGATTTAGAATTCATGAGGATGAATCAAATCATCTCCCACTTCTGCAGTGTACTAGAATTGAAACTTCTCCCCCACACATCCCGCCACTGCTCCATTCAGGAGCTTCTGCTCCTCTCTCAGAGAGAGAGCGTTAAAAAGTA